GGTTGTATCTAAAACTTTAGGACCCACACAACTTTGTAACGGTTGTATCTAAAACTTTAGGACCCACACAACTTTGTAGCGGCTGTATCTAAAACTTTAGGACCCACACAACTTTGTAGCGGTTGTATCTAAAACTTTAGGACACACACAACTTTGTAACGGTTGTATCTAAAACTTTAGGACCCACACAACTTTGTAACGGTTGTATCTAAAACTTTAGGACCCACACAACTTTGTAGCGGCTGTATCTAAAACTTTAGGACCCACACAACTTTGTAACGGTTGTATCTAAAACTTTAGGACACACACAACTTTGTAACGGTTGTATCTAAAACTTTAGGACACACACAACTTTGTAGCGGCTGTATCTAAAACTTTAGGACCCACACAACTTTGTAGCGGTTGTATCTAAAACTTTAGGACCCACACAACTTTGTAATGGTTAATGTGTGGAGCCTTATGTTGTGATAGGTTAATGTGTGGAGCCTTATTTTGTGAGAGTTTACTGTAGAGCCTTATGTTGTGAGAGGTTAATGTGTGGAGCCTTATGTTGTGAGAGGTTAATGTGTGGAGCCTTATGTTGTGAGAGGTTACTGTGTGGAGCCTTATTTTGTGAGAGGTTAATGTGTGGAGCCTTTTGTTGAGAGTTAACTAAGAAGACTTGTGAGAGTTTATTGTATGGATCTAAAATAATAAAGAGAACTGTGTAGAATTTTCATTTATAATAAAATATTCATGAATGTGTTTTACAAGCACCATAAATTTAGTAAAGTGGATTGATTTAAAGGCAGGTTGTCGACACAAAATTCTGATCAGTTCGAAGGTTACTGACGAAGACAAACCATTTCTTCCAGTGGAAGTCCCTGTCACTACATTAACTTCCCTACTCCCACCCCCCCCCCCACCCCCCATTTCGACCGCCGTCTATCTGAAAAATCTCCGTTTTTATCGTCTGACAATGCACTTAATTTCAAGCGCGAGCGGTCAGATCAGCTGACCGTTACAATTTCCTGTATGGATTTAGTGGTCAAGCGTGGTCATTCAATGGGTTCCCTCTTCTATCTTACAACCACTTTCTTTTAGTGGTCAAGCGTGGTCATGCAATGACCTCTCTTCTCTCTCACAACCACTTTCTTTTAGTGGTCAAGCGTGGTCATGCAATGACCTCTCTTCTATCTTACAACCATTTTCTTTCAGTGGTCAAGCGTGGTCATGCAACGACCTATCTTCTATCTTACAACCACTTTCTTTTAGTGGTCAAGCGTGGTCATGCAACGACCTCTCTTCTATCTTACAACCTCTTTCTCATCAAATACCGCGTGGGTTTTTAAAGGCAAGCAAGTTTAAATTGAACTGATTCTCCTTCTTTAATGTGATCAAGATGTCACTTCATTAGTTCAACATTGCTTCTAATGAAAAACGGTTGCAAATAGTTTATTTTTTTTTTTGCAAATTAACGCAAAGATTGGTTACAGAGAACAATAAAAAATGTAGATTTCAAATTTCATACCGTTTTTCTATAGAATAAATCATAATTACGGTACTGTAATAAGTGCAAATAATTACACTTTTTCTCATAAGTGGGGAGAAAAACATGCTGCTGCTAAATTTGTTGTGTTTATTTTCACGGAACTATTTTTGCATTATCCAGAGACTTGGTTGAGTAATAAACTCTGTCTACTCAATCATTCTTCTCGAAATCGCTCTTTTTGTTTCATTCTAGCACTTCCTACCAGAACTATACGATCCTCTAGTCGACAACACGCAAGCAGAACGATTATTTTTAACTTTTACCCCTTTTACCCTATAGTCTACCTTAACGTACAGCAGAAAGCAGCACTCTTTTTTTAAAAATCCCGTTACCACTATAGGTACAGGTAATGCACGTGAGCTTCGTCGCGAGTTTTTCTCCTGTTTAAAATAGACTGTGCTAGAGGGGCGTGTGTTGAATGCGAGAGTGCGCAGAACTGTGCCTGCATGGCTAGTAATCCGGATAAACAAACTAGTTTGTCTAAATAAAATGGAACGTCTACATGCCCAATGTAACAGGAATATGAGACTGGTAAAGAACATAATTGTGTGAATTTTTAAAGCTTATTTCTTTTAATAATTCGTACATTTTTGTAAGTGTAAACATTGTTAACTACTTTATTGATTATTTTATTTATTCTTATAAGAATATCTAGATCTACCACTGTTTAAACCTTATTTTAATTATTTAGGCATACTACTGTTGTTTAATGTTTAATAATAAACCCATCGTTAAATAATAGGCCTAAAGCTATTTGTTTCTAGATCTAGACATCTAGGTCCGGGTTGCCTGGTTGTAAATTAAATTTGTGTTAGAAGCCTACTAAGCACAGAAATGAGAAGATCTGGAATAATTTTTAAAATTTTATTTTGACTACTTTTTTCTTATATACTGGCAGGCAGGAAGTAATGTGTAATCAATGTCCGCGGTTTTTTATTCAAAGAAGAAATATTTCACTAAATAAAAGTGTGTGTATAGCAATGTTATGTTTTTATGGTGATGTTAATATTCTAGTTCTATTATTACAATCTAGATCTAGATCTAGATTTCTATAACTAGATATCTGTCTAGGGCACTAGGGTCTACATAAATAAAGTCACATATTCACCTAGAATCTAGATCTAGATCTAGATCTAGATTCTAGATCTGAGATATTATTTCAGCAGAGATATTGTCCTACTTTCAACTTTGTACTTTATGACTTTACTATACTAAACTTATTAAAACTTAAAACTATACTAATTATACTAATACTATACTAACTATACTTACTAACTTAGATCTATATAAATTATTATAAATTTATAATAAATATTCAAATAATCTAAATCTATCTATTCTATCCAATCTATCGACTATCGCTAAGTCACTAAGACTAAGTGCTAGTCACGCTAGTGGTAAGTAGTAGATCAGTAGTAAATCACAAATGGAGTACTCTACTCTAGACTAGATTCTAGATCTAGCTAGGATATAATATAATTATATTATTATATTCTTAATACTTAAATTAATTGATCTAGTCTATTGCCAGAGTTTCTTCCAGGCATCTCTTTTAACAGTACAGTGTCCCCCCCCCCCCCCCCCGAAGAAAGTCTACCCCCCCCCCCCCCCCCGAAAATTTCAAGTGCCCCACCAGAGAAAAAAGTCTGGAAGAAACACTGTACCAGACTACTTACTTACTACTTACTACTATAGATCTAGATCTAGGTCTACTAGAAAATAATCAAATTCTAATCTAGATCTAAATCTAGAATCTGCTAGGCTGCTAGATTAGTATCTAGATTTAGATTTTAAATAGTTTGATCTAATAGTGAATAGCAGATAATTATTAGTTAATTAGATCTAGCTAGAATCACTGGTTCTAAATTCTTAACTAAAAACTTACTACTACTACACATGTAAGCCTGAAATGCAGCAAATGCATGCATTGGCGGCTCATTTGCATCCTGCATGTTCAGCGGTAAAACACGCCTTAGAATATTGAAGCATTGACAAAACCCTATTAAAATATTTTGTCAGACTTTCTTGTAGCACTGCAGCAACACGCGGGGATGAGCATGCTTGTATTCAATAAAAAGCACTATTCTGGCTGTGATAAAAATGAACATAAATACTAAGTAAAGATTCCTCCTTAGACCTAACAATCCATTGTGCAGATGAAGCTCATTAGTTTCTTGATTTCCTCATATAAAGGGATAATGTATGCCCAGGCACTTTTAATTTCCCTAACATGAGTTAGGTATTCAGCAGAGCTGGATGGACTCAAGGATGTCCAGAGTTTCTTCCAGGCATCTCTTTGTTTGTGCCCCTCCCCCAGCCGAAAGAAATGGAATTTATATAGAGAATATACACTTTTACCAGTGTCCTGAAAATCTGAAAATGTCCCAGAAAATTTAGTGCCCCCCCCCCCCCCTCCCAAGACAAAAGTCTGGAAGAAACACTGGGGATGGATGTTTCAAGAACTCAAGACTTTCAGGTTAGCAGTCTAGTGCTCAATTGCTAGGTCATGCCATCCCACAGCAATAATACTAAATGAAGTTAAAGTGTTGTTTATGAACAACAAAATGTATTTAATTCTCAAATGTATTTGAAGTAAAACAGTTAATTTTCATAACTGAGAAGTTGAAGTGTCATCTATAAATGAATTTACACTTTTTTTTAGTCAGAGACCCCTCATCAGAATACAGTGTCACACTTAAACCAACTACCACCTTCCCTAAAAATTTTAACTTTTGAAACAGAAATTTCAAGAATATTAACTGAGCTGAATCAGTTTTAGCCATATTGACTAATTTTTATTAAAATTTACAAAAAAAATCTCCTTAAGAAGATGTAATAACCTCAGATTTCAAATTTATATATTACTGAAATGTAGAATCGCCCCATCCCTTCCCTATGTAACACATAAATAGGTTATAACCCACTATTTACCCTTCAAAATGTGATATTAGCAATTGATGACCACTAATCACCATACCTGCAGAAAACTATTTAATATTACATATTTAATTTATTGTTTGATGATTGATTGCTCCGTAAACTACAGTCTTAAAAAAAGGTGCTACCGAAAAGTGATCTGAAAATGTTATAAGTTTTATTATATGCATTTTTTTAATCATGTGCCATATATATATATATATATATATATATAATATATATATATATATATATATATATATATATATATATATATATATATATATAAATTCATCATCTTACTATCGGAATTTACGCCACATAAATTTTTGTTTTTCAACCCACCCAGTTCACTAACAATCGACACATGTGATGTTGACATGATCTACATTCTTCAACATTATCTGTTTTATCTTGAAATCTTGAAAGTATCGTACAAGAATATATATATATATATATATATATATATATATATATATATATATATATATATATATATATATATATATAAAGTACTGGTATGAACACAATACATTTGGTTATTTACTTTTAGGCCTAGAAAGGAGCCATTGTACTCAACATGTGTGGGTGTGACCTTCATGTTGGATTACTATATCAATGCTGGGAAACTTACTAACAAATGCTCAGGTTAGTCTATTTGCTTTGTCGTTTTCTGCCGACCACACTTTCCCCTTGTATGTCGAGGTTATTGAAACAGGTACTCTACTCCATCTCCCCCATGTATCTTGGGCACAAACATGATAAAATGATGATTACAATGATTGTTATTGTGCAAAAAATCAAAATTAGGATTTTGACAAATCTCTACATTTAGAAATGTTTGTGTAAATTAAAATTTGACAAATCCTGGTAATTTATTTGTGTCCTTCATTTAAATTTGATAGATACAATAATTTCAATGTTTACATAGCACTATGTTTATTTGGCACTATGCTTTAAATGGCACTAAGGCCACCCTTGTTGTGATTTGTGGGCCACAGTGTGGGCACTAAGGCCACCCTTGTTGTGATTTGTGGGCCACAGTGTGGGCACTAAGGCCACCCTTGTTGTGATTTGTGGGCCACAGTGTGGGCACTAAGGCCACCCTTGTTCTGATTTGTGGGCCACAGTGTGGGCACTAAGGCCACCCTTGTTGTGATTTGTGGGCCATAGTGTGGGCACTAAGGCCACCCTTGTTGTGATTTGTGGGCCACAGTGTGGGCACTAAGGCCACCCTTGTTCTGATTTGTGGGCTACAGTGTGGGCACTAAGGCCACCCTTGTTGTGATTTGTGGGCCACAGTGTGGGCACTAAGGCCACCCTTGTTGTGATTTGTGGGCCACAGTGTGGGCACTAAGGCCACCCTTGTTGTGATTTGTGGGCCACAGTGTGGGCACTAAAGCACCCTTGTTCTGATTTGTGGGCCACAGTGTCTGAGCACTAAGGCCACCCTTGTTCTGATTTTGTGGGCCACAGTGTGGGCACTAAGGCACCCTTGTTCTGATTTGTGGGCCACAGTGTCTGGGCACTACACTTTGCAGGTCCAATACCCCTGCCCGCTTACTACAAACTCTACATTGAGCAAGTCCACACCCCCTTCATTCCCCTGCCCACCTCACAGTCACACAAGCTTAGCTACGCTTATCTCGGATGTTGTCAGACACAAGTGATGTCTTGATGTCCTGTTTTAAACGACATTATTCACCCATACATGCCATGAGCAATAACTACACCTATCAGTTCTTTTTTGGTAGTACAGACAATAGAAATTATGGTTTCCAATAGACAAGAAATCAGTATTTCGTCAAAGTACGTTTTTATTATGTAACCACACACATAAACATTGGGTCTAGGACAATTACCCCCTGCCCAGTTAGGGATGGAGGGGGGGGGGGGGCTATGTCTTGCTCCCTAAACATTAACTTTCACTTGATGAACAGACATAATTTGAACCAATGAACCCATTGTACAAAACATGAACCAGTAGACCCATTGTACAAAACATGAACCAGTAGACCCGTTGTACAAAACATGAACCAGTAGACCCGTTGTACAAAACATGAACCAGTAGACCCGTTGTACAAAACATGAACCAGTAGACCCATTGTACAAAACATGAACCAGTAGACCCGTTGTACAAAACATGAACCAGTAGACCCGTTATACAAAACATGAACCAGTAGACCCGTTGTACAAAACATGAACCAGTAGACCCATTGTACAAAACATGAACAATTAGACCCATTGTACAAAACATGAACCAGTAGACCCGTTGTACAAAACATGAAACAGTAGACCCATTGTACAAAACATGAACCAACGAACCCTGTTGTACACAACATGAACCAGTAGACCCATTGTATAAAACATGAACCAGTAGACTCATTGTACAAAACATGAACAATTAGACCCATTGTACAAAACATGAACCAGTAGACCCGTTGTACAAAACATGAACCAGTAGACCTGTTGTACAAAACATGAACAAGTAGACCCATTGGACAAAACATGAACCAGTAGACCCGTTGTACAAAACATTAACCAGTAGACCCGTTGTACAAAACATGAACCAGTAGACCCGTTATACAAAACATGAACCAGTAGACCCGTTGTACAAAACATGAACAAGTAGACCCATTGGACAAAACATGAACCAGTAGACCCGTTATACAAAACATGAACCAGTAGACCCGTTGTACAAAACATGAACAAGTAGACCCGTTGTACACAACATGAACAAGTAGACCCGTTGTACACAACATGAAACAGTAGACCCGTTGTACAAAACATGAACCAGTAGACCCATTGTACAAAACATGAACCAGTTGACCCGTTGTACAAAACATGAACCAGTGTTTAGCAGTACACCCCGTTTCTTTAATAACCCTTCCTTTAGTGATGTGTCTTGGGACTTAGGATAAATACATGCAATGTAAAACATCTTACCATCGTGCCCAAGATATTCCCTTTTGCATTTGTAAAACGTTGGAGTCACTGCATAAATAATTTCAAGTTGGTGTACTTATTCCCTATAAAAACGAGTGCTTGCAGTTTACATGCATATATAGCAGTTGTCGATATTATTCTTTGGTTTTGAGACTTTTCAACATCATGGCCAATATATAACAATTTTTAGAATTTAGATAACTGCCATAAAAATATATGTCTAAGTCAAACAAAATACTCTAACATATAAAGATAAGATTCTTCGATGGTGCCCTGGTTTGCTGGTAATTTAATAGCTTTCAGCTGATAAACCATAATGAATAACACAGCCCTAGGTCAGACAAAGTTAATGCAATGTTAAATACGCAACACACTTGGAGTAGACCATAGCTCCTTCATTTTAATTTAGTCTAACAAATACTGGTTCTCTTAAAAGTTAACATACACTTGACTAGTTTTAAAGCACTATTTCGGAGACATATATTGGTAAGTACTTAAGGATATTGTATTGAAATACAATGTTTATACTAGGCTGGGATGATATTTGCAGTGTAGGCTAGCAAGGTCGCTTGAATTTGTAGGTCTATACCCATTTTCTTCACTCCTCTTTCCCCCCCCCCCCCCCCTCTCTCTCTGTATATATATATATATAGATAGATAGATAGATAGATAGATAGATAGATAGATAGATAGATAGATAGATAGATAGATAGATAGATAGATAGATAGATAGATAGATAGATAGATAGATAGATAGATAGACAGACAGACAGACAGACAGACAGACAGACAGACAGACAGACAGATAGATAGATAGATAGATAGATGTAGGTAGGTAGGTAGGTAGATTCATTCATTTATTCATTCATTCATTCATTCATTCATTCATTCATTTCAAAGATATATTTCTCTTAACCTTAATCAAAAACAATTTCTCTCGTCTATTTCTAGAGGTCCAAAAATGCTGTGTGCATTAAGCACTTATTTGAACTTGCACGTTGACTAAATAATACAGCGATGAGATATATTTGTTATAAAACCACGTTCTCGGTAGTAACCAGGCGTTTGTATTACACTCTTGTAGCAGGAGGAATATTTCAGTTTATTTCTTTTATTAGCATCATTTACTAGCGTGTGATTTGGGCATTCCTTTCACCTCCTCGCCAGCTAGACCTTGTCACTTTCAGATCTTTTCGAAATTCTTCTTTAATCGATTACTGAATTCTATTCAATTTCTCCCATTTCTTTTTACCGAGATTGTGCTTGGCTTCTATAGCACTTTTGAGAAGTTCATTTCTGGAGTTGTCGCTTTGAGGTTGTATCTATAATGATCCATTACTGTAATAAAATGGAATCTCTATAGTTCGCTTCTATAGCTTGGTTAATTATTTTTTTTTACTTAGAACTAAATTATTTACAGTTAAGCCTATCTAATTGTGTATAGAAAAAATAAAACACCATTTCTGTATACTGGTTCATACATGACACTATATTTTTTTTTTTTACCTCTGTGAAAGGAATAAAAAATAGTGTACATTGATGCTTGGCTTGAAGCCGTTTAATTTGTTGTGGTTTTTTTTCTTTCTTCGTTTGTGTGTCTGAACTAGCTGTTCGGAAGAATATAGTATACGAGCCGACCCGCTGCGTATCACATGCCGCTATATAGTTGTTTTATTTTCTACTTTTCAGTAATTCATAATTTGTGAATTCGACAGTACCAATGCTGCCACTGAAAATATTTTCTTTAAAACACTTTCAGTAGGTCGTTAAGGGACGATACACCCCCCCCCTCACCCTCCATTCACCCTACCCTACGCCCCCCCCCCCCCCCCGTGAAATCAGCCTCCTCTTAGTTACCTTCCCTGAGTTTAAAATAGTTTCAAACTAAATTATTTGCCCCTAATAGCCGTCACTAACACCCGGCTCTACGATTGTAAACATTTAGCGTGAACCACAGCTCACCAGACTATGTGGGGGTGGTAGGGACCTGCCTAGAGAGGAAGAGAGGGGGCTTCTATCGCGCTTACAGCTTGGTATTTTCTAATGTCTCCATGAAGAGAATTATATATATATAATATATATATATATATATATATATATATATAATATATATAATATATATATATATATATAATATAATAGAATAAGTTCTAGTTTAGAAACACTATGAAACCACAGCGTATATTGTTTCAAAATCAAAGGAACAGAACCATAAAAAAATGCTTTTAACACACACAAAAACCATTATAATGAACATTTAAGCCTGCTGTTGCCTTTCGTGACGGAGTGTGATGGGGGGGGGGGGGGGGGTTCAGATGGGTGTGACGTCACTTTTTTTGCATTATAAAAAAAGCAATGTTAGAAAACGAAGTTTTAGACGTTATTTCACGTTTTAGAAAACGGTTTTAATAAATTGTAACAGAAATTGATTAAAATACTCTATGTTGACAGAGTTCTGAAAATATTTTGGAAAAATATCGATGTTTTAAGAAAAAATTCAACAGCAATTTTAGATGGGGGGGGGGGGGGGGGGATGTCTGGTTTTTTGTGACGACGTGTGACGGAGGGGAGGCGGGAGGTAAAAAAAAAGAAAGCGTGACGTCATTTATGGATGACCCCTACAAGCTGTAGTTTTTCTTTTTTGTTTTTTTCCGATGCTAGACTAGAATCGCTAAAATTGGCGTTACTAATCATGCA